CCGCCGCCTCCTCTTGATCTCCGGCGATCTTCTCCGGCTCCGGGACACAGCACTTTGAACCAGCTACCATATTATCCGCCATTCTTTTTGCCATCGAGTGAAAACTGGAACTGGAAGAGGAACAGGGGCTGTGAGAAAAGTGTGTTTTATAGATGGGATGTGGATCTGGGCGGTGGTATTGGGAACCGTGCGGCGGTGCAAAACCAGGGTTCTGTATTGGGTCGGCTTCAGTCTCAGACCGCAGTTCGTATTTATTACTGCAAAAACCTTTTTAAAATTCTCAATGTTATTTTATATTAAAATGCTCTTGAGAGTATGGTTGGCTAAACTTTTGATCTAAGAAATGGGATAGCTTAGCTGTTCATTTTTACGTGAGTTATATTCGAGTTGACAATTTCTATATTAATTATTATTCAATTATAAAATTTAACATTCACATTTTTTTAAAAATGAAAATTTTAGATGTCTAAACTTTCAATACTAAAAGTTGAATCTATGACTTTCATGAGTTAGATTATAAAATTTTTGAAGGATGAAGGGAGAGATAAAGTAGAGGGGAATATGAAAAGGGCAGGTAGAGATGAGGAAATATGAGAAGGAAAGTAGAGTAACAGGAAATATGAAAAGTTTTAAAAAAGAAATTGCAGAAAGAAAATGTTTGAGAAAATATTAATTTTTTAGAACTAGAAATGAGAGTAATCGGTTAAAAAAAATAAGATACATAAATATGAAAATTTTGGAGAAAGAGAAATAATAATAAATATTTAAAATATAAAATTTTAGTGAGATAAAAATAAATTTTGTAAAGAGAAATTTGGGATGAAAAAAATTTTAGGGTGAGAAATAATTTTGTTATAAATAAAGATGAGAAAGAAACAAAATTGAGTATTATAAGAAAAAAATTTGATTTTGAAAAACAAAAACCAAAAACTATATATTTTTTTAAAAATTTACATAGGATTTCAAAATGATTTTTGAAAAACCAAAAACAATTGAATTGGTTATCAAACAACCCTATTTTTTAAAAACTAAAAATAAAAAACCAAAAACCAAAAATTGAAAACCAAATGCTTATCAAACGGACCCTTGACAATTGACAATGCATTTAAAACTAACAAACATAATTTCTATAAAAAAAAACAGTAACAAACATAATTGCAAGTCTCAATAATATCTCACTGCAAAGATTTACATAGCTAAGGTTTTAAATTTTCGTTGACATGCTAACATTTTTATTGATTTTTTTATATGAATATGATTTCGACATTGACATCAGAAGTGAGTCTACATTTTCATTAAAAAAATGACGATATGTAAAAAATTATCAATAAAAAAGCACAAAGATGGACATAATATTAATAATAATAATTTTAACTTATTTAAAAAAAAAAGTGAAATGTTTATTTAGCCTTCTCCATTATTCTAATTATTGAATTAGGTAGGACACTTGCCCTACTTGTTAGTCTCCATAGAAAAGGTGGGAGATGGTTTCACTATCTCCTTTCTTTTCTGAGTATATTTGACCTTTTTTTTTCTTTTTTATATTGTTCCGTTTGGATTTAAATATAATTTATAATTTTTTTTTAACTTTTATGATTTTCCAAAAAATATCCAGCGCATCAATATTTAGTTACCATTTTCACAAATTTTATTTTTTTGAAACATTATCTTTGATTGCTGACATTTTCACTCACGCGTAGTTATTCATTTATTCGATGGAGTATTAGCTTGGAATCCAAACATTCATTTGCTGGCAAAATAGAAATGCCTGTTTTCAGTTTTAATTATGGATTTATACAACATATACATATATATATATATATATATATATATATATATATATATATATATATACATATACATATGTGACTACTTAATCCATATCCACAAAATTTTTAAAAAGTTAGAAAATTTGAGAAACTCATCAAATTTAAATAAATTAATGTAAAAGTGTATGGTTGATCAGGCCAAATTTACAAAATTAAGTATATGTTTGAAGTTGACATTACATGGCATTTAACTGAACATTTGCCATCCATGAGACAAGTGATGTTCGATTATTTTTGTTTTATATTTAATTTTTAAGAATCAAGGTCAACTCAGGATGGTGAAGAAGGATTTTTTTATCTTCTTGCATTTTGGTCAAAAGAGATTGAGGTTTAATAATTCAACTTGAAATTAGGTGTTTTTTTTTTTTTTTTTGAAAACATTGAAATTAGATTTAGTTCTTGGCCAACTGGAGAATATTTGATTCATAATATTACAAAAAGGGTTTATATAACATATTTTAATGTGATATTATTATCTGCAATCTAATACTATTGTATTCTAATATAAGATATCATACAGTATTCAAATTATTTACTTGAATTTATTTTTTTATTTTTTATTTTTTTGAGTACATGTAGGGTAGAGACTCGAACTCACACCACTTAATTAGAGATACATGTCAATTTGAACTATTCTCACTTTTGATATTTTTCTAAAATTAAAAAAATTTAGACTTTGGTATGTTAGCATGGTACATAAATTAACTATCTATCAATTTTGTCATTAAACCTTTTAATTTTTATATCTATTTTGGGCTGTTTTTATTTATTACTTTAACAAAAAAAAAATAATTTAATCTTATATAAGCTAATATTAATCTAGTCCCTAAATTTACACTAATTTTTAGTCAATCTTTTTAAATCTTCCTCCCATGACATAACAATTTTCAACCAGTCATATATATATATATACATGTATACATGTATATATGTATATACATGTACATGTATATAGTGAGATTAAAAAAATAATAATATATATATATATATATATATTTATCCCAAAGACAAATTAGAGATCAGAAGGGGCTTGGCTAGACATTAAAAGCTAATAAGCAATCTTAACCAAATTCATGGAAGAAGAGAGAACATGATCCCAAACACCCAACTACACTGCAATCTAATAAGTCCATCAATGTTGATTTTTCCCATTTCTCTTCCCAGTTTCTCATTTTTTGTTTCTAAGAAAATTTTTCAAAATTGTATGCAAATTAGAAATAAAAACATAAAAACAATAACATTATCAAGCAGATGATTAAAGACATATGTCCTGAAAACAGTTATCATTCATTCCAAAAAACCAGAAGAACAAGAGAGGAGAATAGTCACAAAGAAACCTCATCTGTACTGTCAATCTTAATTTAGAAATGATGAAAGATGTAATCATAAAAAGAACTGCTAATTTGTTTGTTCAGTTGAAGCAATGCTCATGTGGTACTTTTTTAGATGCAGTGGAGAAAGACACTAAAGAGACACCAAGCATTGGATATATAGACTATAGAGTAGGTAATTGACCAATTAATTCAAAAGGAAAAAATGGCAAAAAATATTTTCCAAGAGGGTAAAAAATGTACTGTGTTTATCCTACAACTATAAACAACAGTGACAAAAAGGCTTCAAGGCTTACTTACAGAAGCTGCATGAACGTGTAACTTGTTTCCTTCCAATTACTGGTACAGATGAAACCTATTTATAAGGAACTATGTGAAAGTTTAGTAAAAATTAGTTGTTCAACCTATAAAGCAAAGACACAAAAGTTCGGTAACCGTAAGCATCTTCCAATTGGTTGATCTGACCAAATGCTAAGGAAAAAACTAAACAAGGTAACTCAACAAGGATGAAGTAAAATTTGTATGCATAATGCCCAACATGGCAGATGGACCATACCTAAGTAGAGGAAAGTAGCACTGTTCCAAGCCCAGAGGGTCTCCATCCAGTTCCAGAAGTCGCCAATATGTAGATTGTGGAAACTTGCAAAGAACCTTTAAACAAAAAGAAAGCAATAGGGGGAAAAGCTATGGATCCCAAAACAATGTTACAGGCTGCCCTTGAAAGAGCTTTAAAACTCCCAGCCATTAGATCAAGCTTCAGAGGATGTGCCATCAAGCACATGGAAACCATAAAAAATGCTCCAAGTTCTGCAGTAGCAAAGTTAATTACTGACATGAGGC